ATTTGTTGGGTTAGATTTGGACTGTATCTTGAGATTAGGTTGGGCGAAGAATATATATCTTACAAAATCACATTTTCAATACTTTCGTTCATAATGGTTGCGTCCCACAATTGACTACAAAATGAGCCTTACGTCTTGCTAGCCTGCAGCAATTAAATAGTTTCCAATGAATCTAACGAAACTGTAAGTGCCTGTGAACGACACTTTCCATCCAAATCCAGAATTGCTAAGTTATGTCCACAGATTCTCCTGTCATTCGTGGGTGTTACAAGAATACTGGTGATGTTCGCATTTCCTCTCTTCAATGGGTTGAACGGTGTCAATGCTCCAAGCAAGACTCCATTTATTGAAGGCATAATGAGTCATAGACACTCAGTCCTTGTATAACTACTGTCCCTCATAAATAAAAGACCTGCATATTTCTACCGCAAGATCCTCAGCCCGGGGCCATTCTTATTTCACCAAGCTGGACAGTGTATGTGTGTGAGTATGTGAGAGGGAGAAAGGGAGAGCAAACTTTTCAACCTGGCAGTAGAAAAGCTTGAATACAGCAATTGAGTAAAAATGACAACAAAGTGAAAAGAAAACACATTTCTATTGTAAAAGCAAGTAATTTTCCGTGATAATGAAGAATTCAGAGATCATTTACAGGACATGAAAAGGGATGCTCAGGTTCTAAAATGCTGTAAATCTTACCCAGAACATGTTCGTATACGACTCAATTTTTAGGCAAAATTTGAACATTGACCAAAAGTAATCACGAGATTTCTATTCATAATCGAACTGCACAGCTACATGCATGTATTTTCTCATGAGCTGAACTATGGATGATGTAAAATTGGCCAACATTTGGCATTCTTCATGACTTTTGGCCTCTGAAACAACACCATGAATTACCAGCTTCCTGAGATTTGGACAAAGTTTTAGCAGCCCCTCAACCCAATGAGAGAAGAGATCATTAATTATAGTCCATCCGAGCTCCAACACAAAGACATTCTCCAAGTGGGAAGACCCTTGCAGGCCATAGTTAACCACTCCATCTCTCAAGTCATAACTTAATGCAAGATGGCTGAGATGCGGGAAACAAACAGCAATAGTTTCTAAATCCACAATCTCATCCTCGTCATCAAAGACCACATCCCAAAGACGAAGTTTTGTCAACTTTGATGATTTGGAGATCATTTGGTAGAACTTTGGCCACATAATAGTGAAGTTGCTGACATCTATGATCTCAAGATTATCAACAGTGTCACCAATATCAAGATGAATAACACTTACGTCATCAATTTTGAAATGCTTCAAAGTACCCTTTCCAATAAGTTCAAATAGCTCAAGAGCACAATCCTTCAAGTGCAAGCATTCAATGCTATCTGCCTCCAAGATAAACTTGTCCAAACTGATTGCTTCAACATAAACTCTCTTTAACGTTGGACTGCTCAGTTCAACAGTCACCTGTGCATCAGACATTGCAATCTCTGGATTGATAAGTTCCAAGGTCTCAATCTTCGGGCAAGCAGTGAGCAAAAGATTGAGATCCAATGCTGAGATACTGACATAACTCAAAGAAAGGGATTTTAAACAAGGGAATCTCTGAAAGTTGGGTTCAACCCCTGTTATCGAGTTGTGGGACAGTTCCAAAATTTCCATCTTCTGCCTGCCACAAATCTCAAGAATATTAACATTCGGAGTAGTCCGAACATTATAAATCAATCGGTGCAAGGTTTCCCTGGTGTACATAAGCCAAGCAATAACTGTTGAAGCAGAGAACTCGTCAACATCATCCATCAAAATCGACAAGCCTTGTAACCCAGTGGTTTGAAATATTGTCTGAGTTATTAGTATCTGTAGTCGGCTAGTTGTGAGATCTTGATAGGCATGCCAATCATTGGAATTAAATGAAAGAGTGTGAAGATGTTTGCGCCAAGCTTCTCGCCACTTCCGACATGTTGCAGAAGCTATCACCACATCTCGAGCACCTCCTAGCCGTGACAGAATGTTCCCAATAACTTCAACTGGAAGATGTTCCATTACCTGAAAAACAAATACCTGAAGTTTCAAATCCACAACTAGGACTTCATACGACAAATATCAGAAAAATTGATGCAGCTCAATTTATAACACACAAACTAATAAACCATTCAACAATATTTGGATCCTGTGCATAGCTTCTTGTTCAGCAACACCAAAGTTCGATCTAGTACACAAACATAAAGGCTACTCAGCACATAGAAACAACCAAGTGGCACTAGCTAAAAACTAAGAGGAAAAAATTCGAACTTTAAAAAGGTCTCAGCCATTGAATCACAAAGGCAAGCGACAAAAATTATATGCAAACCCAGATAAATCCAAAATCCATCAACAGAAAACGAAAAACTAAAAATCCAACATCAGAGTACCAACCACATTGATTTCAACCAAAAAAATAATCAACCTTTTGACTTGCTAATAAAAAAATTGCAAGAAATCCAGCAAACCATCAAGTAATCAGGCAATAACCCAAAAATCAATGAGCGAAACCCATCAAAAACACAAAATCTGACATCTGGGTACAAACAAACAAATTCAAACTGCAACGTTAATTAACCAAATAGAATATTGAAAAGAATGAGATTCGATAAATGATACCCTGAATTCAAAAGCACTAAAAAACGCAAAAGGGTCGTCGAAGATCTTACCACACAATACAATCAACAAGAGATTAGAGATGAACAGGGAGACAATCGAGAGAAAGAAGTAGATTCCAGGCCTGACTTTGATAAAGATCCGCCACCCCGGAGAATAGAGAGAAAGAGCCTATTAATATAAGTTGGACGAATCCATGATGAGCTAGGCTGTTTGGAACTGTAAATTGAATTTAATTCAGAAATTTTAATGAAATCAAGTCATTTAAAAATTCTAGATGAAATTTAATTTTTAAAAATTATTTTTTAAAAAGTATTTTTATATTTATTTTTTTTAAAGACCATACATTATTTAGAATTATTTTTTGATTGTAATTAAATTGTAGTATTTAATTTAAATTCAATTAATAAATAAATTAAATTTATATATTTGAAAATGATATAATTTATTTTATTTTATATACTATTCAATTATCTATTATAATTGAATGTAATTATAGTATTTATATGTTTGATAAATAAGTTAAATTCATGCGCTTCAAAAATATATAATTTATTTTATTTTATTTTATTTTTTGTGTTATCTTGAATTCAATTACAATGTTAAATTTGAATTTAATTAATAGATAAGTTAAATGCACATGCTTGAAAAAATAAAATTCAAATTATTTTATTTTTTATATTACTTAATTCTCTACTATAATTGAATTTGATAAGGGTAGTATAAAGAATAAAGTAAATTAAACTCTATTTTTTTAACTGTATAAATTCAATTTATTTATCAACTATATAACTTGTTTATTAATTAAATTTGAATTAAATATTATAATTGATAACTGAATTTAATTATAAAAGAGAATTTGTTTAAACAACTAGAATAAAAAGGAATGGTTTTTTAATTTGCAATCATTTGCTAATGACTTATTTTGTTAAGGGCAGACCTTGAAAAAGTCGTTGGTCTATAGAAGATATCTTAATTAGATATCTCAATCCCCATTCTATTTTTTATCTGGATTGTTTCTCAATATATCAATCATTTCTCAATTAGATCCTTTTATTGGTTTTGATTAGAAAAATTGTCTCTTTTCATGTGAGAAATATAAATTTACTAAGACTTTTCTCATCACCTGACAGGGAGAGTTCAGTGAAGAAACATAAGGGCTGTATATTGTCTTTACATAATTTGATCTAACACCTGGTTTCAGGCGATGCAAGAGTGAAGATCTTAAGGAATTGATGATTTTGTCTGAGAAAGGGAAAATCGAGCGAGTTTTGTATATTACTGAAAACAGGAGGGAGTTTTGTTCGTATTTACAGGAAAGGCCTTGTGGTTTGGGTTAATTTCAAGAATAACCCTAACTATACTGCTACAATTCCTTATCAGTATTTTGACCTATACCTTGGATTCAGTTCCATATCCTAGGGAGAAACCTCTACTGATGAGGCGTTGCTGCTCTTGTGTTGTTTCATGTTATTGGTCCGTGTCAACCCTAGCAATAGCATGTTGTCACACTGTCATGCTGTACGTAGTTTGGCATGCGGTTGTAAAATATTTTAATTTTTTATTATAAATTAATATATTTTTAATGTTTTTATATTATTTTAAAATAGTAATATAAAAAATAATTTTTAAAAAATAAAAAATATATTATTTAATATATTTTAAAATAAAAAACACTTTTAAAAACATTTGGGATAATACTTATCAACACTATCTTAAATATAATGCGATGTCTTTTCTACTTCTTAATCTAAGAATTAGTAATCTTAGAATTAGTAATTTTGTGTATGTGTATGTGAAGGGTTTAAAATTATAAAAATTATTTTTTTATAAAAATATTTTTATAATATACTAAAAAATAATATAAATTATATTTTATAATTTAAATTATTAAATTAAAATAATATTTTAATATGAAATCAGAGTCTCAAAATTAAATAATCATGAATTTAAATTTTACTATTTATATTTATTTTATAAAAATTAAATATAAAAAATATAATATAATACAATATAAATTTTAAATAAAAAATTAATTTATAAAAATATATTAAAAATAATATAAATTATACCTCAAAATTTTATTTAATAACTTATTATCAAAATAAACTAATTAAAATCAATACGTTAGCCACGGAGGCAGAAGCACTACTCAGAAAGTGAGTCCATCTAGTCAACGACTCGGCTAGCTCTAGCCTCTATCTCTAGCAGCAACCATGCCGCCAAGATTTTAGCCAGGTAGTGACGAGTGCTAACTGCTAAGATTTTTACAGGACTCCGCTACCTTTCGAGCGCGAACAGTTAAAAAAAATATATATATATATATATTATTTTAATATAATTTAAAAAATTTATATTTTAAAAAATAACCACAACTCTTCTCAGTTACCGACAAGACAAAAACCTCAACAACACAAAAGCCACGCTCTCCACTCTTCTATTCAGGTACTAAAATCATCCTCGGCTCATTATCATCCCAGTCGCATAATAAAACCATAGTCATACCTAAATTTTCAGCATTTGCAGGTAACTGACTAACTCTACCTTGCTCCCAACTTGTTTTTTATAATGCTTGGATTGGTGTTTTTGGTCATTCTATTCTTGGGTTGGTTTTATGTTTTAATTATTTTTTTCTTAAAACGTAGTCTTACTTCTGCCCAGATGTTATTTTCTCCATTTTTTGTCCCTATTTGATGCATTAATGAGTGGTCTGGGGTTCTGAATGCGGTAGTTTTTGTTTTTCTTACCTGGTTATTCCAGGCATATTTGATTGCTAGATTGATGAATTATCTGTGTGTTGTTGCTAATTTCTTGTGTATATATAGTTTCAAAAAAAAAAAGGAGTTGGAAAGTGTGCGTTTTTTTCTAAGTGAAATGTGGGGTGAGTTTGGCATATGGGATCCTTGATTTGTTTTTCAATGTTCATTTGTTTTCCTAACCCAAGTTGAATTCTTTGAAGGCCAAATCTTTTTCTGTAATGCAAGTTTTTTCATGGTTTAACTTGTTATGACTTATGATCAGGTTAAGGAAGAACGGAAGGGAGCAGAACAGTTCGATTTGGGCAGCTTGGGCTCTAAAGTTCTAAGCTTCTCGACTACTGAATCATAATTTAAAGAATTTTGTTCTTGCCCTTCTAGTATGGCGACTTGTTTGTCTCCACCTTTCACGCCATCTGGTACTCAAATTTCAGTGGGACGAAGGATTTCAACAGAAAACCGAATTGGTAAAACAGTTACCTTCAAAAGGTTTGACAAGAAGAATGGTTCATGTGGTGCATATGAAAGGAATGTCTTCAGTATCCCACAGATTAGATGTTCGGTTAACTCTCACAATATCAGCCCAAATCATAGCAAAGACTCTTTCCTGGATTTGCACCCCGAGGTTTCAATGCTCAGAAGTGATGCAAATGACACGTACTATTGTCTGAGAAAGGAGACATCTGGAGTAAATGTCACTGAGAGCTCAGGGGATTCCTCTTTTATGAGCAACTACAATGAAGCCAAGATCAAGGTTATTGGTGTCGGGGGTGGTGGGTCTAACGCTGTTAATAGAATGATTGAGAGTTCCCTGACCGGGGTGGATTTTTGGATAATGAACACAGATATTCAGGCAATGAAGATGTCACCAGTGCTCCTAAAGAACCGTTTGCAAGTTGGCAAAGAGCTAACTAGAGGTCTGGGTGCTGGTGGAAATCCAGATGTGGGGATGAATGCTGCCAATGAAAGTAAAGCAGCAATAGAGGAGGCACTTTATGGTGCAGACATGGTCTTCATAACAGTATGCCTTTGTTCTTTTCCTATATGTTAATTACTTGAATAGATTAAAAGAATGGAAATAAATCCTGAGATATACAACTCCCTTTCTATCATCTTTTTGAAAAGTAGAATACCTTAGTTTAGCATAGCTCAGTAGAGTATTGAGATCAAAGGCGTACATCTGTGTACGTGGCATGTGCTTGTATATGCCTATTTGCTGTGAATAGATTTGGTCACTTGGTTTTGCATATTGAAAGCAGACCTTAACACACCAAACTCCTTTCCTTGGATTGATTTAGATCTGCCAACGATTAAAAATCAGAGGCCTTTCTTGCAAATAAAATGAAAGCCCGAGTTCTCCATAATAATTTCAATTTGATCCACTAGATCTGGGTTCTTGCAGGAGGTAGATACTTGTTCTGCAGAACTGCAAAGGTGAAATTCATATAAGGCTTTCTCTTTCATCCTGGCTGATGTCTTGTTAAATAGTAATGCCAATGGATATGGGAGTTCAACTGTAGTCAAATGTTAGCAATGCCTTAATTTGTTCTCTGAACTGGAAATGATGGGGGGGGGGGGGGGTGGATTATAGTTGTTGAAGGAAATGCAGAACTACAAGTCCAAAGCATTAGGACATCGCTATAAATCATGTTAAATCAGGACTGAACTATCGTTGTACATCTTCTTTATTCGACTGAGGCTTCCCTTTATTGTTTATCTCCGTGTAGTTCTTCCTAAGTCTTAGAAATAGATCACAGTATTTCCTAATAATTGCTACTCTTTTTCATTTTGTTATGATATCTCACTGATGCGTTAAATCTGTAGGCTGGGATGGGTGGAGGAACTGGCACTGGTGGGGCTCCAGTGATTGCTAGTGTTGCAAAGTCCATGGGAATATTGACTGTTGGTATTGTTACAACACCATTCTCCTTTGAGGGTCGAAGACGTGCTGTTCAAGCTCAGGAGGGAATTGCTGCTCTGAGAAACAATGTTGACACATTAATTGTTATTCCTAATGACAAGTTACTGACTGCTGTTTCTCTATCAACCCCAGTGACAGAGGCATTTAACTTGGCTGATGATATACTTTGGCAAGGTGTTCGTGGCATCTCTGACATCATTACGGTATAGAATGACTAAAGAGAAATGTTAAATTAGTTTGTATCTTTGGCTTCATATGATTTCTTTTCTAGTTGTTAAAATTAATTCTCAGTCATATGTGGTGTTTATGTGCTAACACGCCACTCCATGACCATGAGGTCGTGAATCATGCACAATTCAGTATTTATTTACTGTTTTGAAGATCAATTTGCTTTGCCAATGTTAAAGGCCTTAATTTTGTAAATATAAAGACCTTTTTTTCTGACCTAACATCTGTAGTCTTTTCTCTCTACTTCTGCATTTTTTCCATCCCACCCAAACTTTTAGAATTCTCTCAAGTGGGGGATTTGAACCTGACACCTTCACTTGGGGGACAGGATCTACTCCATCCATTCTATCTTAAAATCTTTGTATTTTTTATCACTTAGATGGTCACCACCCATTTTTTTTTGGTTTCATGGTTTGTCATTGTCGATAATGTGTCTAAATGCTTTCATAATTGATTGTTGCATCTCTTCTTATGGCTATCATTCATCTTCTTATTTCATACCATCAAATTATAACATGTATTAGCGTGGTCTTCATGCAAAAATAGGTGCTTGTGTTTATAGAGTTGTATTGGGACGCAAGCATTCACATGAATATGCAAATTCCGTGTATGTGTGTGGGTGGGTTTGTGTGTGGTGTATTCTTCTTTGAAGTGAACACTTGTTCTGGTAAATTTGTCTTCTGCCTCCCATATATCCTTACATTCCCCTTCATTTATGGTAATTCTAGCAGCATGTTCTGTTGAATAAGGTTTATACTTATCAAACCCCCCCAAAAGATTATTTTTCCAGGTTGCTACAGTCATCCGATAAGGTTTTTTGGTTTTATCCCATGTCTCTAGGCCTCTGTCTCCTGTCTCTTATTCCTTTCCTTTGCCAACCTTATTCAGCAGTGTTTTTGCCTTTTCCTCCATTAATGGTGAGAAATTTTTCTTCTACAGGTGCCAGGTCTGGTGAATGTAGATTTTGCTGATGTTCGAGCTATTATGAAAGATGCAGGTTCTTCTCTTTTGGGAATAGGAACTGCTACCGGTAAGTAAAAGATCCCAATGACAGAACTTGCTATTTTCAAATATTTTTAGTTTTAGCTATTTATGGATTATATTGGATGAGGTCTTGATACAATGTCCAATGGAGATGAGTGTTAAACGGTTTTATAGGTCATGCCCCACAAGTGATTTAGTAGAGATTGTGTTGGTTCTCATTTGAGAGCTGTGAGCAAGTTTCTGCAGCTCCTGTATGTTAGGGTTCCTTTTGTCTGTTACGAGTAAAAATTCCTTTGATTAGGGATTAATCTATTTTATCTTCTGGCTCATTTCTTCTCGTCTTCTGTGTTCATTCCCAACATGCTTGTTGCTTCCCACTTCAAGGTGAACAAATATGAATTCTCGAGTAAAACCATCAAACAGCTCCTGAATCTCTAATTCTACTTTCAAAGCCCTGGTTCCATCAATTCCTAGATTTATTTTGGGTAACATGCAGTAGCAAAACCCCTATATTTTATTTTTTTTGCATGGTTGCTTGCTATCTTTTGATTGCAAGGGTTGTTCTGCATGATTTGTATTTAGAGTCCAATTGATCTAGCTACAACCCCTTGTTTCAATGTGGAGAAGATTTATAAATGGAAAAGGAATTGTTACAAAACCATAGCAGAAGTAATTAAAGACAGAGCATCAATATTTTTTTTTTCTTTGATCAAATGAGAAAAGGGGTTTCATGTCTCAATTTTTTGCCTCTTTTATTTGATATGGGATCTGTCATTATTTAAAATCTTTTATATATAAAGAGTGCTCTTGTTTTTTGATGAAAAATGGCAGGAGAATAATTTGGATTTTCAGCTTAAAATATAATGACTCTTTAAATTTGATTCGGTTTCGTATTATCTTTAAATTTGATTCAGTTTCGTATTATCTTTGAATGTCCTAGGCTAGGCTTCTGATAACATGAGACACCTAGGCTTGGGCCACTTAAGAATGTCTTTATGCCTCATGAATTCTCTTCTATTGATTTTAAAGAACTCAATTATGGAAACCAGCCTTTTATCTTTCTGAAGGGACGTAAAGAAGCCTATCCTAAACGTTGTATGTTTTGGAATTGGCTATGCCCTGTTCTTTATTTAACTGAAGCCCTGATATTATTTTTTCTTATGCATGAATGTTAGTTTCTGTTGTTTTTCATGGCTATATTTACCTTGTGGCTGCCACCTTCTGAATTTCTTTGCAGCCATATGTCTTAAAAAGTAGAAAATGAGAAACACAGTTATGTCGTCATATGCATTTCTTTTATCAATTTCTAGAGTTGTGGTACTCTCCATTTTGTTCTCTAAACACCTGCTTCATTCATGATATAATACTCGATTTCAGTGTTCTCATCAAAATTTTCTGCACAAAACTGTTTAATGCATCATGATCGCATGTTTAATTTTCTACCTGTAATAATTACTTTTCTTTATTAATTAGCAGGGAAGGCAAGGGCAAGAGACGCCGCATTGAATGCCATCCAATCACCTCTGTTGGATATTGGCATTGAACGAGCCACTGGGATTGTGTGGAATATAACTGGTGGAACCGATTTAACTTTGTTTGAGGTAAGCCCTCTCTCTAGTATAATGGCTGAACTCAATTCCATTACTATGCATCTTCTGCTCATTTTATTAGTATATTTTCAGGAGTATTGAGAATAGATAGTAGCGTTCCCACAGGAATGCAAGCATCATTGATTTGGGCTGCCACTCAGATTTACCATGATTCATGATTTTGCAAGTGGACTCTGTGGAATCTCTATATCAGTTGGAACATGCCATCTGTCTAGAGTCTAGGACTTGGGGAGTTGGCGCACTAAATTTTTAGGTTATCGTTTCTTAAGTAAAACAAAAACACATTAATTGCGAAGCTACTTCTATGCATGGCATGTTCTTAGCTCATGAAATGGTAGTGCTGTTCTTTCAGCTTTACATTTTCATCAGGTGTAAAATTCCTTAGAATTATCATGCTCATGAAGTTTACATTTTCTGGACTTCTTGGTGGCTAGTTTTAAAGACGAGCATGGCTTATTAGCATCATGATATATTTTCACTCTTTATTGTATGCCCTAATTTTTGTTATTAGATAAAGAAATTGAGGAGTGTGTACAAGTATCTCTTGAATCTTGTTTTTGATTCTTCAGATAGGCACTTGCATCATTATTTCATTTGCTTGAAAAATATTCAAGCAAGTTATCCGACCAGCTTGGCTGAGAATTTTGAGAAAACTATGACTTTTTTATATGTGAACACTCATCCCTACTGCCTAATAGATAACATACTTCTACTGTTCGACATGAAGTTGGAGCCGCTTTTGGAACAGACATGCGCATGACTAATGTACACTTGTTACACATATGATACCCTGTTGTTTTATTCTGAGGCAATGTTTGATCTACATACAAAGAAATTTTATTTCTTGTAGTTATAGACAAAGAAAATGAGAAGCTTACCAGTGCTTCGCTCATATGCTTTTTGAATGGTCGCAATGCAAAGATATCTCTCTCATGTGTCCAAACACTTGCTAATGTTACGTGAATTTGGGCAATAATTTAATTATAACGAATTGGGTTAATATGTAGCTGCATGGCTTTTGGCTCTCATGTGACTCGCTGTGTAATTTTCTGCAGTAAGAAGATATTTCTATTCATTTCTGAATCTTGTTCATGACTGCAATTATGTGGTTATTATCATAGTATTATTATTCTCTATAACTGGTTGTTATATATCTTTTAAACTAACTTTTGACATCAATTCTTGTCATATTTCTTGAAGGTGAATGCTGCTGCAGAGGTTATATATGACCTCGTGGATCCATCTGCAAACCTAATATTTGGAGCCGTGATAGATCCATCACTAACTGGTCAAGTAAGTTGGCAACGGAGAAATAATTGCAAAACATGTTTATTTGTTTTTACTATGGTAACATGTTTGGAGAGTATTCGTTTTCAAGAAAATAAAAATAAAACAGAATAAGAAGAAAGAGAAAAGTCAAATTTCCGAGGATGAAATGGACAGTACAGATAAATTGATTACCCTTGCAACATCACAACTTTGACCTTAGCAAAGCATTTTTCTTTAAAGTGGCTGTGAACTGCTGGTTACTCTTTGTCAAAGATTGTTCTGCATCAAAACTTCGTAAGTGGGATATATGCCCTGTTATATACCTATGTTTCTCAGTCAAAACTGAATGGAATTGCACATGAATTTCTGAATAACTCATCAGGTGAATTTACCAATCAATCTATGAAGCATAAAGCAGGGGATTTCAAACAATAAAGGACCAAGGAAATGCAACATATGCGGCTTCTAATTTCTCAGGAATGTCAATTATATAATCTTTCTAAAGTTATTATATTCCTTTTGTTTTCCCTTTTGAACTTCTATTTTTAATCTTATTGCATGAATGATTAAATTTCCTTTGAGTTAGTGATATTAATGAACTTTTGGGTTGCTGGAGAACCATAGTGTAGCAATTCCAGTTCCCTTCCCTTGTATGTCAGATGATATAATGCTTTTGCTTTAAGTTAAACATTGACAATCAGTAAACAATAAATTCAAGTCGAGTTGTTAAAATGGTAATTAACAAACACAGCATCTGACGTCACTAATTCAGCATGTGATCTTTCTTCTGTTCCAAGACTGGAAGCTGAAGTTCTATGATGTTTAGTTTGGATACGCAAGGTTATTATAAGTATTATTCCTTGCCGCATGAGCTTTAAGTTTGATCACTTGATAATACCCTCTTTCTCTTAGTATAGTTTTGTACTTTAATTGCTCAAAGATGTATCTTTTTATCATCATTTAGGTTAACATAACCCTGATTGCCACTGGATTCAGTCGTCGCGACGAAGGTGAAGGAAAGGTGTGTCTTCAAGGTCCATCTTTCTATGATAGATTTACACCTGTGTTATATTCTTTTGATGGGAAAAAATGCAGGGGACTCAGCGTGCTCATGGTGATGTTTCTCTTGGAATAAACAGACGTCCATCTTACGCTGAAGGAGGCTCTGTGGAGATTCCTGAGTTCTTGAGGAAGAAGGGCCGCTCTCTCTTCCCACGAATATGAACTCTTTTGCTCGTTTATATCCTTGTATTGAGAAATGTATATTCTGCTTTCTCTTTGTTTTTGTTTTTATTTTCTAAGATATTCTCCTCAAGCCCTTTAGAGTTGAGTGGAATACCAGAGATTCCCTCTGGAAATAATTTCTTCTAAAAATATATAATATATGTTTTTTTTTTAATTTGTTCATCGACGTTGACATATCTTATCATTGAATTATCTCACATTCCATGAAAGAATGCTTCTCAATCCACAAGGTATTGGATTATTGGCATATCATCTAGTGGTATCCAACAATATCTGAAACCAATATAGTTTTAATTTAATTTCAAAAAATATTATTTAGATTAAATCCTTTAAATTTGATTTTGTTGTCAATTTTCTCCTTCCCTTTTCCTTTAAACTGGATGCTTACGTTTTGATTTCTGAATTTGCAATTTGTGGTGAGTAGAAGAAGCTTCCAATTCTCCTTCTAGGAAACAATGAATTCTTGGGGCACCAATGACATTGACCGATGGCTTTTGGGTGATGTATAATGCAACCCTAGTGAGATGCCACTTATTATTTAATTATTAGAAGGTGATTTTTTTGGCTCTGGCCCTTGTAAGCTTTCTTGTCTCTTGAGATTTATTATTATTATTATTTTTATTTTTATTTTTATTTTTTTTTGGGGGGGGGGGGGGGGGGGGGGGGGGGGGGGGGGTGGTGTTTGTG